AATAAATCACTAGTTCTTTAGTAAATTTTGTCATTAAATTCAACAGAAAAGATTGATATAATAATTAGTAACTCTTTAAAACTAGTTTGTTAAATATAAAAATTACTTGTTAATCTTTAATTTTTTTGTTAAAAAAAATGATAAGAAAATATAACTTTTAACATTTCCCCACCATCCGCCATGTCCTCCCTTCTGCTCTATTCTTGTTCTCCATTCTGCAATTTTATTATGTGCTTGTTTGAGGGTTAAGGATTGTTTAATTTTTTAAAAAATAAAGGAACAAAAAGGGACTTTTTTTAGTCCGGAATCAGACATTTCTAGACCAGAATCGGACGATTCTGGTGCAGGGGAGAGATTTATAGAGCATTCTATTGGGCTAACTGTAAACAAAGCCCTTTCGGCCATTTTATTGGCTCATCAAGAAAATGACCTCTTGTCATTGGGCCATTTTATTGGCACATCATAGAAGGCCTAATCCAACCAAGCACGATCCCTTTCCCCTCTCCTTTAACCCAGAAAACGTAAAAGAGAAATAATTGCTTTCTTTTTTCTTTTTTTTTTTTCTTTTTTTTATAAAAAAAGGGGGGAAAAGAAAGTGTAGAGAAATGGTTTCAAGTTGTCTCAGAGATTAATCGAGTTAGTTTAGTATTACTTACTTGATAAGACCATTTTGACAAATTTTAATCTCGAGTTTTACAAACAAATTCAATTAGTTTTGAATTAAAAATTAACTTAACTAAATTCAATTTATTTTTTAAAAAAGGAATTTTTTTAAAAGGGTTAAAACTCCATAGTAAATACTATTTAAAGAGCTACTCTTGTCCCTTTTTTCCTTTTTTGGTAAATCCTTTTCATTTCTATGTTTTTTTTTTTTAGATAATTATAAAATTAAGACTACATAAATCCCTCTAAAATGCCCAATTAAAACACTTAAAACTCAAACTCAAGTCCATGCCACAGCTCAAATAGTAAGAAAAGTTTAAGGGCTTTCAACACCAATTGAAAAACACAAGTCTAACTAGGCTTATTCTTGCTTTTTCTTTTTGGAAACATGTTAAAAAAAATAAAAGGTAATAGAAAAATAAGTTCTGAAACATAATCTCACTTTTTTTAAGAATTCAAAATCTTTTAAAATACAATAGAACTTAAAGACTCTCTTAGGATTAAATGTAAAACATAAACTTTTGTTAGGGAACTTATACTAGATGAATAGACACCAATTAAAGGAATATATTTCTTCAAAAAGACATCAACCAAAGAGATATGTTCTCATAGAAAGACCTTATTATGACAATGCGTCTTTTAGTTGTCAAAAACTACATCTGGATCTTATTGATAATATATAAAGGGGCAAGATCTAAACTCAAAAATCACAGGCCCTAAGTTTCAACTTTTCATAATTATTTATAGATAGAGAGTAATATATATAAATCCCTTTATTTCCTTATTCTTTTTAGATGTGAGACTTTTACTTTTCAAACTATTTAACAAAATATTGGTTACAATCTCTCAGCCATATATATATATATATATAAGTTGAAAATTGAGACCACTTAAAAAGTTTAAAAAATACTCAATTTTAACACCTTTAATTTCAAAAAATAAAATAAGTCATCCTTAAACTATTCAAACCTCTTAAATTCTTCATAGCCTTAATAATACTAACCCCAGATAAAGTTTCTTTAGATTCATAATATCTCTAATCTCTAATCAAGATCGAATATAATTACTAGATATCAAGAGGTTAATACTAAAAAATAGTATCTATAATCTCAAACAAAGACTAAATCTATCTACAAATTACTTAATATGAGTAAAACATAAAATATACACTTTAAAAAACTATAAATTAAAAATATTATGTGGATTAAGTATTTTAACTAAAGTATATACATAGCCTTGTTCTTTAAATATTTGACTCCGGGAAGGAAGTTTTGGGTTGAGAATGAAATAAGCCTGAATTAGTTAATCGGTGCATTGGCTTGGCTGGTATCCTCACTTTTCATGGACAGCTCGAACTAACATCTTGCGTCAAGAAAATAGTAGAGGTAAACGGTATACATGCACCACTAGATGTTGTTGATAGGCTAACGGAAACTTTAAACATGTTTATGATATTTCAGCCATAGGAGTGTTGAATTGTGCCCTTGAGTTCCGCTAGACACAAGTACTAGTACTATTTCTTGAACAATTAAGAACAAATTGGTAGAAAAGACAGGCAATTTCACCCAACATTAAATGTTGAGAAAAGTGCACTTTTAACCAATTAACATGTAGACATGGTACAGAACTAATATTTGTTTTATTCCCTACAAATTGGAATCATTTGATAGTATCATGGCATCTCCATCCTTAGAAAAAAATTACAGATTGATTGATGTTTGAAACTTGGAATATGGGAGAGAATCCGATTCAGTGGATCCGTACTGTTTATTCTATTAAGGACGTCTTTGGTTAAAAGTAGTCATTTTTAGAAAAGTTTTATTAAACAACTAATTAAAAATTGTATAAAAAAATTATTAAATTTTATAATAAAATTTCATTAGTATTTTGTTATATTTGATAAGAAATATATCTCGTGAAAATTGTTAAGCAAATTCATATAAGCAAAGTTGTAAAAACCTTTCATTAAAGTATGAAGAAAAATTTATAAATTGACAATTATATTAAGAAATATAAAGGCAGAAAATCCTCACTTTCATTTTTGTGTATAAGTACCAAAATATCACACAAAATCCTAAAACAAGGCATTTCATTAGAAAGTAAACAAAAGGGTTAAAACAACTGTTGAGTGTCACACACACATATATTGGAGAGAATCGAAGATATTATTCCTGCTTAAATAAAACGTTAAAGCACAGCTCTTAATCATCTTCTTCCTTGATTTCTATCAGCTTTAGTCTATTTTATTTGTCCTTATACGAATTTTAGTTGATGTCATTTTACGATATTAAATAAAAATTTTCATTTTTAATAAGTATTTTTATAAAATAATTTCATTTATAATAAAATTTTAAATTATCTA